ATAGTTACCGATAAAATGCAACTAAATTAAATTAAAAGTTAAGAGCCTAAAATGTAATTAAGTTAAGTTAAAATTATTTAACTTTTTAACTTTTTAACTTAACTTTTATCTTTTTAACTAGTCTCTACCCAACTAACCCTGTTTATATGCTTTTATGATAGCCATTAATATGAATATAATATGTATAATATTCCTTGCTATATATGTAATATATGTATATATTAATGTACCTTTCGCCGTCGATTTTGCCGTTGTCGTCGAATGTCTTGAAGGCATTGATTACAACATCGTCGTCGTCAGCTCCTGAATAAGGGAATAAATTATTTAGTTTTTAAAACGTTTGTCGGTTGTTTTTCCAACCAATTGATACATTATACATACCTGATCCTGGCATACGAACGGCGAATAAGTTCAACAACTGAGTGAAGTTGATGGGCGCTGGAGCTTCGTTAAGCATTTCTTCGATCTCTTTATCGGTCGCCAATCGACCGACAGAGTCGAAGGCTGCACGAAGGTCATTCTTACCAATGATACCGTCCTTATCCGCGTCCATTAGCTGGAATGCCTGTGAATACAACAGCATTGAAAAAAAAAACAGTTGTGAGAACAATAGCATGTGTTATGAGTATGTATAATATTTAATTAAAAAAAAAAAATATTAAATTATTAATTCAATTTAATGAAATTAAATATAATTCAATTACTTTAAAGAGTCTGCAAGATTAATGTACTGAACCTTTACTTTACTATGTTTGACTAATGTACTGAAGATTTTCTCTACTTTGAAAATAGATTCTTCGATTCTTAATTTATCCAGTAAACGCAGATTATAACTGCAATGTTGCAGCAATATTGTAACATTTCAGTTATACTGCAGAAATATTACATTGTTGCTGCAATATTGATGTTATAATCTGTGTAAGTATATATGTACTTAACAAATGTATAGTGAAAGATCAGAATTTCAGTTTATAGAGGAAAAAACTTGTTCTGTGAGTAATGATAGAGCATCAGAATAGAAAGATTTAAAGTAGATGCAAATCTGAAGTAAAATTAGAATTGTGCGTAAAATTATCTTTTAAGTAGATCATACCTCCTTAAACTCGGCCACCTGTTTCTGAGAGAACATGGAGAATACACTGGATCCGCTGCGTTTAGCCTTGCGACTGCCGCGGCTGCTTGCTCTGGCAGAACCAGAGTCTTTTGGTGTGCCTGTAGGAGTTGGTGCTTTCTCTTCAACTGGCGCTGGTTCGGGTTCGGGTGCTGGCGCCTCCTCCTTCTTCTTAGTCTTTTTCTTCTTCTCCTTATCCGCCTAAAATACCGCAATACTTTGTAATATCTTTTAAATACTTTTTACTATTATTGCTATTATTGGGAAGAACTGCGTTCACAAAAAATATCTAATGTGTGTGTTGTGTGTGTGGCCTTATTTTATTTCAAGAAATTATATGATTAATGAACAAAATAATATTATTATTATAATTTATTAGAATTTATTATAATTATTATAATTAATTATCAGTGTTCTTCTTTAAAAAATTTCAAATTAGTTGTAGAAATAGGTATTTGAATTTCAAATATGATTTAAAACTAAAAATTTTTATGTCTTCAAAATCTTGAAATTTTTACATATTTAATTAACACATTTGAAAATCTTATATATCAAGTAAATTTTTCTTTAAAAGTAAAATATGTAAAATATAAAACATTTAATAATTTTAAAAATGTTTTATCTATGTTTATATATAAAACAAAAAGTTAATTAATAATATAAAATAATTGTGTAAGTAGTATAAAAGAAAAGATACATATATTTTTTAAATATTTAGAACATAAGATTTTCGGTTTTAAATAATATTTGAAATAATTCAAACTTTTCATATTCGAAATGATTCTATGAGTTTATCATTAATTTTAATAACTCTATGACATTATAGATATCCGGAAATTGTTCAATGAAAATGTAAGTAAAAAAAATAATTTTTTTAAATGTTAAATTTACATGTTAAATCGACCTTTTTATCCAATATGTATAAATTAATAACGAGATATACGATCAAATAAAGAACAGAAATTTAATAAAAATAGTTATTACTTGTGAATTTTTTAAATAAAAATATATTTTAATATAACTCAATATAAATATATTTTATATTATAATGTAATTTAATATAAATTAAACTATAAATTGTTCTTGTTTTTTTTTGTTATCTTAAATATTTTTTGTACAAACATTCTTGTGACAAAAATTTATTGATAAAATAAAAAATTCATATGTTTTCTTTATATTGAGAATGGAGACATAAATTAAAATATAAAAATTATTTTATTAATGTATAATATGTTGATTGGTTTCTATAAATGAAATCGAAAGCTGATCCAATTATCGCACGAGAAAATTTATAGGGCGCTACCGGTCGGTGCTAAGAATAGAATCGCACGGAAAAGTTGCCAGGACGTATATAGAGCGATCATCCAGTTATCGCACTGCCTCTCGTATTACTATCTTATATAATTGTTTGTACTTGTTATAATTATAAAAATTAATTCATATTTATGCTGGATATATACACATTTTATTTTACTAATCGAACAAATATCTTCCTTATAAAATAAAAATTGCATTTTTTATTGTTATTCTTCATACTATTATTCTTTAAGCTATACATATCTTGCGTAATGTGTCTAGGAAAATGTTTCTTTTCATTTAATTTTGAACATATTGCAAAGAGAAAAACATACTTCCAACTAAACGAGAAAGTTAGATTATTTATTTTTGCTATTATAATAGAAGAAAGTGCATAAGTTAATATGTTTCATTTCAAAGTCTCAGCGAAGAATAATGATTTTGCATATTTATTTAGAATTTATAATGGAATCTGCGCCCGGGAAAAATTGTTCATATATAATTATATATGTATATTTTTAATCACTTATATATAATTATATATGAGCAATTTTTCTTATTTCTTCAAATTTTATTTTTTATAAAAAAAAACAATGTAAACAATATTCTTTTAATTATTTTTTCCTTTTTATTATTATCAATTTTGTATTAAAGAATAATTTTACAAAGAAAAGAAACATATATGGACATATTTTGCATATAATTATATATAATTATGTATAGAACTTTTTTCCCGGGCGATAACGGAATTTTGAACGATTTGCTATCAAAAAGTCTGATGAAGATCACTGTCGCATTTCATCGCGTCACGAATCTATAATGCCAACAACAGCAACATAATGCTCTCGTCATCAACTCCTCGTCACTCGGGTATATATATGTATATCGGTCCAGGCACTGCGCGTAATCCATCTTCGTTAAATGCACTCTCATATTCACGATTTGGCGGTGTTTCTGCATCTCGTGATCATATAGATAGTTTGGTCCCTCGCGCAATTCTCGAACGGCTCGCGTTAGATCTCGACGAGGGATTTCTCGGCGCGTACTTACCATGTCTACAGGTCACAATTTCTAAGAGGTGGACAATACGAGATGGTCACGACGAACCAACTGTCCGAATCATAGAGCTGAACTTGTCTAAGTAACTTCTGCGGATCTCCCCCACCAGCGAGCCGGAGGTTGTCCGAGCCGGGGTGCCTTGCCCCGGGTATAACGTCCATCCTGACCATATTTAGTGCGAGTCGCCTCAAAATAGCGACCCTTTCGACGTTTCGACTAAAACAGTTTGCCAGGGAGTGTAGAACTCAGAACGGTTCTCGTTCCCGGACGAAGACAACCGTCCGCGTTCCCGCGGTGCTGGGGATATCGCGATCTCCCGACCGATCGTGAGTCAATCAAGCGCTCGTTTCGGTGACAGATCGTAACACGTATATATCACCAGGATCTTGTTCTTTCCGCACAATACCTCGAATTCACGGAACTTAAGAAATAAATAAAATGTGTTGTTTTAATGTAACATCAACAAATTTATTTTATTTCGTTTATATTGGGAATCATTGATGAGAAAAAGATTTCAAGTCTACTTACAATTAGTTCAAAATATATTCCTTATATAAACATAATTTAATAAAATTAGGTCGCTGCATGTCACTGCATCTCACGTTCTATTTACTTTATTAATGACGATCTCTTATAAAGCGGTCTGCGGAAATACCAAACATATCATTATCGTGACCGAGCTTTCGGTTTAAAGCACGATATCTCAAGCACGTGGATACTAAAAATAACTGTCCGATATATTCAAGAATGCACATGTATTTCTGCAGATATGAACGGTGTGCTATAAAGTGCTATACAATAAACTCCATATATGTTTCGAAGAAAATCGAAACCATCTTTTTGTTAATTATTTTTTAAAATTACGTAGCGTAATTTTTTAAGACTATTAAAAAATTTTATAGCTATATAATATAAGTAGCACAATAGCTGTAGCAATTTATGATATTCGGACAAAATGGCTGTATTGCATTCATGTATGTACATGTAATAATATATATTGGCTTCTTTGTACGGTCGAGCAACTCGAATTTCAAGGGAAAAAAAATCCTTCGAGTTACAGAGTTTTCGACTTATCGAAATTCGAGTAAAGGAGGGTTAAAATATGAAAATTCGACTTACAAAGGCATTGTACGAGAGTTTATAATTTTTTGATTATAAATAGCTTTTAAAGAAAAAAGAATCAATATTTGACTGTTACGAACTGATAGTTTTTTAATTTTAAATTTTAAATTTTCCGTTTTTGGATCAATACATTTAAGTATTTTACCCTGGGATTGGACAAGTTTGTGCAATTAATTTAATGGAAAATTATTAGAATATTTGCCGTAGAATTAATTATTTAAAGATAAAATAATAATTTTAATTATTTAGGATTTGAATGTTGTAAGATATTTTAATAAAAATTAAATTAATTTAATTAGATTAAAAATGTTTGGATATTTAACTTAAAAAATTAATTTGGAGAATTAAACGGTTTAAATAAAACAGTGAAGGATTTGAAATGAAATATTCAAATTAATTAATTCAACTTCGAAAAATAAGGAAAGGACGGTTAAATAAAATTAAGAATATTGAGTTGAAACCTGATCTTCAAAATCAAATTATATTAAATTCATTTACTTATAATGAAAAATTATTTAGAAATTAATAAGATCAGGATTCAAGTTCAAAGAAAAATGATATTTAAAATAAAATTTATCTTTAATTAGCAGTTGTTCCGAATATAATAAAATACGAAATTCACGATCAGGTGATTATCAAGATTTGTTACTGTTCTAAACTTGTCAGTGACGTTGACGTATTGTAGATGAGATGGAATCTATTTTAAGATTAAAATAATGAAAGCTGAGTTGATTTATGATTCAATTGTATTAAGATGGTCTCGAATGGTCAAAGCCTAGACTAAGACTGACTTTTCAAGTGACAAGAACCCCCGCACGAACTTTTCATCACTTCCTTATCACTTGCTAATTAAGAGGGGGAAGATTCTTTTCCATGTGACATCAAAGTTTAAATCGATATTTATTTATGGTGACGGTCTATTGTGCCATCGCCTGTTATCGCTCTCTGAATACTTTGCGGATTTAATTTCAAGTCTTTGCTTTAAATTGTTCTCAACATTTATTTCAGATCATAAATTTAAATTTTATACAAAATTAAATTTGAGAAAAATGTCTACTCGTAACATTGACAATGAATTAAGTATTTATTACATACATATCTTGCGTAATGTGTACATATAATAAATGTAATCATAAAACAATTAAATACCAGGCATATGCTCATGGTTACACATAGCTACAACTTCGAATTATAGAGGCAGAGCGACAATAGAAGTTCGACTTATAGAGGTGAACTTCAACTTGTAGAGGTCTGGTTACTTTAAATTCGAGTTGCAGAGGTAAAATAATACAATCTAAATATCTGATAAATAATTTGAGCTAAGGTAGGTTTTATTTCGATTTATAAAGGTTTTTCGCAGTGGAGCGGAAGGAATTGAACAAAATTTTCGTCTTATAGAGGTTTTAGAGTTGTAGAGGTTCCACTTACCGAGATTCGATTATATTACATATAATAATTTTGATTAGGCCCTGACAATGCAAACACATACAGAGGGTGATATATAAAAAGCGATTATGAACACTTTTGAATTTTAACACGTTGAAAGTCATTCACCAATGATCGGCGCTGTGATTGACTACCAAAAAAATATACAAGGTGTCTCGTACTCAATAGTACAGCGCTTGTGAGGAGGTAGTGTGGACCAAACTGAACAAAAAAGTCCTCTACCATTTTGCGATTTTTGCAATAGTTATCGAGATTATAATCATTTAAAAAAAAAAAAAATTTTATATAATGGCCAAGTTTTTG